TATTGTAACAGAGAATCTATCAGCCTTCAATGGAAGTACAGAGAAATACTTAATAAATCCATTTATTATTATTATTATTAATAGCATGGAGTTATTAATGAGAGGAGATCAGTGATTAGCAGATCCCTTCGTCGACGTGTCGAACCATGGAGGAATTAGTTCCTCCATGGTCGAACCAATGTGCTCCAACATTCATAGCTCCGCCCAAATGCTGAACTCAGATGCAAGCGCAACGAGATTTTTTTTATGTTTTTTTTTTTATAAGCGTCGAAAAAAGGAATAACAAAGCCTTCAATTGTAGTTAGGCGAACGTAAAACACTTATACAGTGGCGTATGTATTTGTCGCGTTGTTAGCACACACACCCCAAAAAAAGGCTTGTTCCCCAGTCCAAGCTTTTATTATTATGACCCATTCTTAGTCTCGCTAAAATCTCGCAAGTGATTCGATTGGGTAGGGCAAAAACATCATTTCGTATTATTTCTCCTGACGCAAAACGAAATTGGAATTGGCCTTAAGGTAATGCTCCAATAAGCCCCGCTTTCGAATAAGTGCCGCTCTTTAATACTAACTGAATCCTTCGAAAAATAAAATTTACACATAGGCCTACATAAAGATTCAAATATCCAAAAAGTCAAACAGAAATATATTGTAATCGGACGGAATAGGAGTAAATTATATATCAAATTACTATTACAATAAAGTTGGGCGCGTGCCCATCATGCTGATGGGTTTTGGGGCGTTTGACACCCAAACACTTTCTGGTGTACTAATCACTATGTAAAGTATTTACATTTTATTCCACTATGGATTAAGCAACGTTTCAAATACAATACAATAATGTATAATATTTCTATCGTAATATTTTAATGTTCATGTATGCTTAACTGAATGTTAATGCATCATTTTGATGCATGTACTATGGGTATGATATTTTGTTTACAATAAGCCTTTAGGGGCAGCACAGTACATTATATGACTATCTGTGGGCGGCTGCCCCTACCTCCGTTTTACTACTGTACGTTGTACAATTCGTCGTTATTAAAATAACATATTATCATCATAAACATGAGTGTTTGATAACGACTCTTTTATTTTGCGTAGCGTGGGCATGCGTGTCTGTCGTGTGATGCAATAACGAATTTTTCTAAACCGACAAGGAAAAAGCTATTTGCATCACGTGACAGCTCGAATTTCGGTATCAAATGGTCTTTAGAGGTACGGCCCTAATGAATATGCATAGTTCAGACAGGAGACGCGGCGACCCTATCCTGGTTCTTAAATCAGCGCTTTTTGCCTTAGTGCACGTCGTTTCTCCGATATTGAATTCAATTTGCCACCACCTCCCCAATCCCCACTTGAATACAGGATGTTTAGCTGTGCTTTGGGGCGTTTGGCACCCAAACACTTTCTGGTGTACTTAATCACTGTGTAAAGTATTTGCATTTTATTCCACTATGGATTAAGAAACGTTTCTAATACAATACAATAATGTATAATATTTCTATCGTAGTATTTTAATGTTCATGTATGCTTAACTGAATGTTAATGCATCATTTGAATGCATGTATTATGAGTATGATATTTTGTTTACAATAAGTCTTTATGTTAGAAAAGCCTTTAGAGGCAGCACAGTACATTATATGACTATCTTTGAGCGGCTGCCCCTACCTTTGTTTTACTACTGTTACACTGTACGTTGTACAAATCGTCGTTATTAAAATTACATATTATCATCATATACATGAGTATTTGATAACGACTCTTTTATTTTGCGTAGAGTGGGCATGCGTGTCTGTCGTGTGATGCAAATGCTAATTAAAATCAATGCGTTCTGTCATAGAAAATTATCCTGTAGCCTTCTAGCCTCCTTCTATAGGTAATTAATTTGCGAGCCTAGCGGTGAGTCCCCTTGAATAAATTTTAAATTTTACATTTTAGGCCTACTTAAGAAAATGTAGAAATAGACGTACTACATTTTTTTTTGCTACAAGCAGGGCCTAAGTTAAATATGTTTTTGAAAAAAATTGTGTTTACAGGTACGTTAAGCATTATTGTTACAAAAATATCTCACCAGAACATCGGTGTTACAATTATTCCAAAGTTTATTAAAAATATATAAAAATAATTTGTATTACTCACAATTATGTATGTCATAATCGTAAGGTATATATCTGTCTCTTATACACATCTAGAGTGTATAATCGAATTATGTTTTTCGTGTCCTAATTGCCCGTGTAAATCTTTAAAAAAAATAGTTTCTACTCGGTTGATAAACAACCAAAGCTGTGGCCTATGCCTAATTGACTTGTCAATCATATACTGAGAGCCATAAACTGTAATTATCGAAAATATTATTTCTTCATCATTGCATAACATTTTCCCGTAAATTGATCATTATAACCTAAGCCGATTTTCCACTAGGCGAATTTATTCGTGCGAATCGAAAGCGTCGTTCATGCGCATGCGCATTCACATTTCTAAAAGAGTTTTCGCTTCAGCGAAATTGGTAGTTCGAACTGTTTCTGCTTTTTGCGAAGCGAAAAATGTGCGCAACCAATCGGAGCTCAGGAACCGAACCGACGCCTTCGATTCGCGCGAATAAATTCGTCTAGTGGAAAACCGGCTATAGTAGATACTATTTTCTATATTTCGCCAAAGTTGTTATTTTCGAAAAAATAACATTTAACTACTATTTAACGTATCAAAAATATAAGGATGTCTTCTTCCTTTATCTTTCCGCTAAAGCCTGTTTTCCACACTAGGCGAGTTTATTCGCGCAAATCGAAAGTGTGGGTTCATGCGCATTCACATTCCTATCGGAGTTTTTGCGAAGCGAAAAAATGCGCAACCAATCAGAGCTCAGGAAGCGAACCGACGCTTTGATTCGCGCGAATAAGTTCGCCTAGTGGAAAATCAGCTTTAGACCCACCCCTTGGATACCGGTAGTGTTGCTAAGATCATCAAAAACGACATTGTTAAAAACATACAGCACGTGCGTTTGTGAAGCCTGTTTTCATAGGCGAGTTTATTCGCGCAAACGAAAGCGTCAGTTCATGCATACGCGTATTCACATTACTATCGAAGTTTTTTGCTTCAAAATCAGTAGTTCGAATTAAACTGTTTCTACTTTTTGCGAAGCGAAAAAATGCGCAACCAATCAGAGCTCAGAAATAGAACGACACTTTTGATTCGTGCGAATAAATTAGCCTATTTGAAAACAGGCTTTAGACACGCGTGAATTCCTAGCTCTGTTCTGATTGGCCAGTTAAGATTGATTGACACTCCGAAAAGGTCAATTCCGCGTTAAAGTCCTTAAAAAATGTCTATTCGGTTAACGTTGATAAACGACTTAGGCAGTGGTATTGAGGGCCGTGAACTACAAAAATGTTATTTCTTCATTATTTCATAACATTTAGCCGTAAATTAACCATAACTTAATTGATACCATGTTCTATATTTCGCTAAAATTCAATGGTATCTCTTTCTACTTCATCGATATTATGCAGTTGAATGTTATTTTCTATGAAAACATAATTGCTAATCGTAGCGAGGGTACACTCTTATATTTTCCTTATTATCGTCATACACGTCATAGGCGTGCAGCTGGAGACGTGGGGGTGGGGGTGGGGTCTGCTGCACACAATCGCCCTCAAGAAGCAGACTGTTCCACACCTTAAATCCAATTTGTCAAATTAGTTTTCATGATTGTAAAAAGGGTAGCCGTACGGTCGTTTAGTAGAAGGAGTTGCTAAAATCCTACGACAGGCCTTTATTGCGCATTTTACTTTCAAATTATCTGCATAGAATTCTAAGCCTCAAAATATGTCTACATTTAGAATTGTCGGCTGCTATTTGTTCCCATGATATATGGTAGTTTATGTCAGAGATTTGGTTCTATGGTTTAATGTTTATTTATATCTATTTTTCCTGCGTTGGATTTGAGGGGTGGGGGATGCATTAATTCTGGTTAAAATTGAACATCTTGACATAATGTTATCATTCAAAGATTGGTAAGTACTCAGCTGAGTGCTTTCCAGTTTGCATTCGCTTTGATGTGATCGGCAGTGGATATTTAGCCCCGTAAGCAAAGAGGGTTAAGGGACCATTCAAGTTTATCCCCAACCGTGGCGGGACTGGTGTCGGGACTACTACTACCCCCCCCCCCCACACCCCAACCCTCCTGATTCCTGAATTGCTGAAACTTGGCTTACGCTTCGTAACCCGGTAAGAAAAGGCGCATTTATAATTGCGCAGTACCGGTACTAATAAACAGTTCAAATGTTGTTCTAATTTCCATGTGTAAGTCTTGATGACACCGTGATGTGTAAAACACGGACCTTGAGTGGGCTAAGTCGCCTAAGTCACGTATCTCATTAGGCCTACTAGTTAAAAGTTAAAAAATATATAGTTTACAACAATAAAGCAATGCACCATTGAAGTAGTAAATCTAATACATTTTTATAGAAGTATGTTCACCAGCTGACTAAAAAAGAATAATTAAAAAAATGCCAGGAAACAACTGCGTGCTATTATTTCAATTGTAGCATAAGTGCATCATACCGTGGCAAGATGAGCGGTATTAATGTAAGGTTGAAAAGTGACGAGGCACTAAAACCACCATGATTACAGTGAAGCAGGTCGAAAACAATGTTAAACCGATCTTCGACGATAAAGAAAAATATATGAACAATAAAGCTGTGGAAGTTAAAAATAAAAAAAAAACGTGCGTAGGCCTACACCCGACACTTTAATTGCTTTGAAATAACATGTTTTCAAAAGCATTTAGGCCAACAGTGCATTGATCTAACTACAGAAACAACTTGTTTAGGTCTATACACCAAGTTTATGTTAACTTCACATTCACCTGAAGAAGTGCACTGTGTGCACGAAAGCTTGTGTACTGTCATAAATAAACTAGTCATAAAAGTACTGAATATCCTGAGTTTTATTTTCTATTATATATTAGACTAGTACGGCTTATCTATTTTTTATTTAACTATGTCAAGTACAACAATTAGCCGTTTGAAGTGGGACATAATCAACCTAAGGAAAAAACTTGCTCAAGTACAGTCAGACATCATGTTCCTCACAGATTGCAAAAAGCTCAATGTTGTACCTAAGGGTCTCATCATCAAGAATCCGCTAAAATCTACGTGTGCTACCAGCTACTCAATGAAGATCTGTATGACAACCTCTATTAAGATAAGGAACCACATACTGGATACACTGTATGGTAAGCAATCATATATCACTACCCAACTAAGGAAACAGAAATGTATTCTCGATCAGCATCCAAATCTCTCTGTATTTGAACGTAACCAGATATCACATATTGCTATGGATGTGTATGATAAACAACTACAAAAGCTGAAACTCACCAAAGACAAGAAATTATCTGTCCTTATATGCAACACCACAGCCAGGACCAGTGGTCGTGAATCAGACTCATCTAAATCAGTTGTGAATCACTCAACATATTCTCCTACCCCAGCTGAACTATCTGTATTATACCGTGGACTATCATTTTGTCCGTCTACCAATATCGACCAAATCCATTTATGTGGCGATCTTGAAGCCTTTTTTAGACGTCTAAGACTGAAAGAGTTCTTCCATGCACATGGACCAGCAATTGATAATTCTAACCGTCAACAAGTTACCAACCCTAATCTTCGGACCAAGAGAAACGATGCCAATTGGACACCAACTGAAGGACGCAACCCAAAACTAGATCTGTACATCAACTGCTTTCGGAATAGAGTTCGTTCAGAAATCATAAACCTAAAACGCAAGTGTAATTACAACCTGTCACCATTAGAACGTAAGGCAGTCGAAACACATAAGACTAATAGGGACATTGTCATCAAACCAGCGGACAAAGGAGGGGCTACCGTCATCATGAACACAGGTGACTACATTAGGGAAGCTAATCGACAACTCTCTAACTCATCGCTTTACACCACGCTTGCCACTGATCCTACTACACAGTGTAAGAAAGAACTACGTTCTCTCATCAAAGACTTCCCAAAAGATATAAAGCGATACATTGAATGCACTACTCATCTTGAACCAAAACCCGGAACATTTTACCTCCTTCCCAAGATCCACAAGCAAGATAACCCAGGACGTCCTATCATTTCCGGTATCGGCACTTTAACTGAAGGCATCTCTAAGTACGTAGATCGCATTCTCCGGCCATTTGCTACCAGTGCAAACAGCTACATAAAAGACACCACAGATTTCCTATGCAAACTCCAAGATATCGAGAACTTGCCTCAAGGTACTTTACTTGCCACTATGGATGTAGAAGCCCTCTACTCTAACATACCTCATGAAGATGGACTCCAAGCTATATCGGACACTGTTACTGACAATACCGAACTAATATGCAAACTTACTAACTTCATACTTTCACATAATTATTTTCTATTTGACAGTGATATGTACCTTCAGATTAATGGCACAGCTATGGGCACGCCCATGGCACCCCAATATGCCAACATATTTATGTCTAACTTAGAACAGAGGTTCCTTGAAACCCAAACACTACGACCTCTACTATATTTACGTTATATAGACGACATTTTCATGATTTGGACACATGGTATGGACACACTCTTACAATTTCACAATGACTTTCATAATTTTCATCCTACCATAAACCTCACACTCGAATACTCTGATGACAAAGTCAACTTTCTTGACACCACTATCATCATTAGGAACCAGAAACTACAAACATCTCTGTACAGGAAACCTACAGACAACCAATGCTACCTTCATGCATCCAGCTTTCATCCTCCACATATACTAAGGTCAATCATATTCAGTCAGTCACTACGATACAACAGGATATGTTCTGACCAAACTGACCGAGACACACACTTACTTGAACTTAGCAATACATTCTCTCGCCTCAAATACAATCCTAATACCATACACGAACAAGTTGAACGAGCTAAGAGAATAGACCGTAAAAATTTACTCAAATGCACACCTAAACCTGTCAAAAACCGCACCCCACTAGTTGTCACATACAATCCCATGCTCAAACCACTCAAGCGTATCATCAATGACCTCCAACCAATAATCTCAACAGACCCATACCTTGCAGACGTCTTCACAGACAAAGTACTATTGCATACAGACAACCACCCAATCTCCGACAACAACTCATTCACAGCCAACTCCCTACTGATAATACACCCGGAACTTTTCCTTGCAATAGTAACAAATGCTTACTTTGCCCCCATATCAACACTGACAACAAAATAACAGGACCTAATGGTAAAAGCATATCCATAACAGGCACATACTCATGCTCAAATGCACCTGTCTCTTATACACATCTAGATGTGTATAAGAGACAGGTATATATACAGTAGGACAAACAGGACAATCCCTCAGACAACGACTCAATGGACACAAATCGGACATACGACTTAAACACAACCACAAACCAGTAGCAGAACATTTCAACTCTAATTCACACTCCATGCTCGACCTTAAGGTTGCAGTGATTAAAAAATCTAACTTCAAAAACAGCCTAGAAAGAGAAATTGATGAACAGAAACTTATCAATAAGCTTAATTGTGTAGAACAGGGCCTTAATAAGGACTATGGTTTTTTCTCACATTATAGAACATAATATTCACACTCTGTATGCTTTTTCTATATCTCATATTCTGCCATTAGTGTTTTCATAGTTTTATATATCTATCATGCTTTTTTTTATTATTATATGTCATCTGATTACAGTCCTTGATTTTACTATATGATGTTCAGACACTATATAACTGCAGTTCTATATTTATACCTTTATATTTGTACTATGCTTTTTTAATATATTAGTACTGTATATCACTATATGATGCCCAGACTTAAGATACTGTACTACGGTTATTTTTACTATATATTAGTTACTATATATTATACTCACTGACTTTGATAATACTTCTGACCCCTGACCTGTCTTATATATATTTTTATACTGTTTATTGCTTATGCTTTAGTCCTTTTGTCTTAATTGTATGCTTGAATGATTAACTTGCTTAGGTCTATACACCAAGTTTATGTTAACTTCACATTCACCTGAAGAAGTGCACTGTGTGCACGAAAGCTTCTGTACTGTCATAAATAAACTAGTCATAAAAGTACTGAATATCCTGAGTTTTATTTTCTATTACAGAAATAAGTTTTAGCGAACTTAATTTATTTTAAAAAAAATCAAGATTGTTCAGATCGAATTTTGGGAAGGAAGGCATAATGCGGTCCTCGCCCCGTATAAGTGATGCCTATAATATTATACGGTACTTGATGTCATGATGTGCCTATGGTTCCTTTAAATATGTTAATATTATACAATCTGGTTCTGGCCAGTTGCCACTCGGGTCCGCCCGTAGCCACCCCGCATTTTTGCCACCCGGCCCTTTGCCCACCGACCCGTTGCCACCCGGCGATTCTCCCGACCTTTACCACCAAGGCCCGTTGCCACTGGCTTTTAGCAACCCGACAATAATTATTTGTTAAATTCCATATTTACAGTCAAATTGAGGGGCGTTTATGTGAGTACTGTATATACGTATCCATTTTACACCAAAAAAATAATAAACGCCTCCCTGGAATAAATTCCCCCTCAAAAACCCTTCTCAACAATAAACGCAATGGGGCATTTATTCATTTATTGGGTCTCTATATATTGCTTCCTAAATTAGGCCATGTGCTAAATGATTGATGGTCATTGCAATAGTATTCAAAAACTCACCTGAAATGTCAGAGTATGGTTTGATTTAATTGGTGAAGATGCTGTGTGGTGCCATAATGATGCTTGATATGGGTTGTGAGTGTCATTTACTGGTAAACAGTGATATTTGGATTTCGAATTTGATTCGGTCATAATATTTTGCAGCCAAAAACTTCTGTCGGATTTTTTTTTTTGTCTTCATTGTTTTTTCCCATTAAAAAATCTAATAACCAGATGATTTGTATCTTGTATCTGCAATGAATAATATAATTTTGTGATTGGTAATCTTCTCAAGGAAAGGTAAAAGAAAATGTTTACATTTTTGGTAAGTAATTTAACAATGATCGAGTACTACCGTATCAAAAAAAGTTCATTATTGCTAATCAATTTACTAATGAGTACTATTAAAAAAAGTTTAAATTCTGCCTTAAACAATTTCTAGAGTAGTGATTATGCTTTAGGTTATTAACCGTTATACCAATGGTTACACAAAATCTTTCAATTTCCACTAACTTACACTTCTGTAATAAACAAATTGATATCAATAAGAACAATTAGGCTCCATAAGTAGTAAATTGCTAGTGGTGAGATATAAAATTTAAAAGAGTAACTTAATCATTGGGGGAGTGAAATAAGCGCCTAGATAAAACAAATGGGGGAGGGGGAAGGGGTGGCTATTTTTTCGCATTGACTTAAAATAACTAAAATAAAGGGCTTCCAATTTATCGGTAGCGAAGTTAAACAGTAGGCCTATAGAAGCATTCGAAATGTATTTGCATGATAGTGATGCATTTGAGCATGAAGAAAAAAGGTAAGGAAGGGAAAAACCATGTGCCTTGCAGTTTTACTATAGGCTTGAATAGACCTTTCTGGAATGTCAATCAAGCTAACAACTGACCAATCACAAGTGGTCACGTCATGTCTGATCAGCTGCTGATAGGCCCACTTGCCTATGTCCACAATGACATGGGCCAGATAGACAAGCACACCGGGGTACCCCCTTACTTCTCAAAATAATAATAATGATGTACTGTACTAGCTCTTTTAAGTGCACACGAACAAATTGTTCTTGAAGCCTTGAAAAAATTTCCACCAACTTATTAAGCATTATGCTGGTGCAAATAGCCATACATTGTTCTCAAATGAGAAACG